GATATAGTTTGATGGTTTGATATTAGTATATGTGGCATGTAGTAAACAATGGAATAGTAAAGTTATGCCATATTTCTTGTATTTCATGATACTGGCTGTTACATTACTTTTGTGATAGTTAGTACTTAATAAAGGCTGCACATACTGGCAACTAAGTCTCTGCATGTCTGCCATTGGAAGGCATGTAAAACTGTTGCCCTTTGCCAGAACGAAGAAAGTTTTATATGTGTAATTCATGATATGTGAATAATGTCTGATATGTGATGTTACATCTAAATATTTAATGTGTATGCTGTTAGTCTTAGAAAAAAGAAAATTACCCCATCTTGAAATATTCAGCTTTGTCAGTTTTTGTTGCTCCAGATTTTGCCATATTTTGTTTCTGGAGGACATTTTGTGAAATGTAGTTACCTATCATGAGTTCATACCAAATCATTTGATAAAGGTAATAATTTATAAACAAGATGTGCAGCCCCGTGAAACAGTGTTGTTTCCGTAATGACTACAACACAAAGATTAATGAGATTATTCTTCATTAGTCCCGGGGAATTGTTTTGGTAAAATGTTCATGTCACAAGACAACACAGGTTCTAAGAAGGAATTCACACATGCATAATTAAACATGACATGTGCCTTCTTCTTTCAAATGGATACCCTGTTCTTTGAAGATTTTGGTCATGATCATTAAAGTTGATGTCAGTGTTCATGTAGCTGTAAAACATGTTTCACTTATTATTACTCATATATGATGCAAGGTATTCCTTATTTTCATGTCTGGTTATAATTACTGCCATGTTTAATGTTGGTGCTATGTCAACATTCAAGGTGACATTTGAGGTGATTGTGAGTGAGTATGGTTTTACACCACTTTTAGCAATATTCCAGCAATATCACGACAGGGGACACCAGAAATGGGCTGTACCCATGTGGGGAATCAAAACAGGGTCTTCTGGGTGATGAGCGAACATTTTAACCACTAGCTATAGGCTAAACCACCACACACCCCACCTTCCCCCGAGATGATTGTGAAATGTGACTGTAATACTTGTATTTATATCATAGACTTGGTTATTGTTGGATTTTAATCAGTATGGTTTTAAATTATTCTTGTAACACTTGAAAATACTTTAAGGAATGGGGTGTAGGGGATGCTTCTGTTTATGAAAGTATTTTCAAATAGCTACCTTGGTTTGTTTACTAGTTTATATTTTCACAAATATGATGGGTGTAATGTTCAATGCCATATACATGTAACCTCCACGTATTTACACATTTCACGTTGGTGAGCCAATGGCATTACTTCAATTGTTTGTAAGAGTCTTTTCAACAGACATAAAGATATGTGTGTGAACCAACTTAATGAGTTCGGTACTACATATAATTACATTTCATAGTATTCTTCTTGCCTGTCCCATTTCAAGACAGGCTGCTCTGTATTTTAGTAATAAAACATCTTTAACAAAACTCATTTCTTTTTGTCATTTTATGGGGAAATCTAACAATGGTCAGTTTTTATCTGGTCAGCTGATGCTCTACAACATTTCTGAATACACAAACAACTAACACCATGCAGGATTTGATGGATGTCTATACTTGGACAGAAAATGTCCACTGTGACATGTTCACCTTGCACATGTTTGTCTATGTTCAGCTGCATAAACTTATGTGACGCCACAGGCATTGGTTTGACTCCCTACCCCACTGCAAATATATAAAGTTGATGACCTTGATTGGGATGTGACTGGTATGATACTGATAGAGGCATCATAACCAACTATCTCTCATTTCACGACTATTTCAAAGATGTCCCAAATGTTTAAACTTCTGATATCTTAAAAATCACATAACACATTTGCATCTTTTACCTTTAGTAAACTGTGCTAAAGGTGCCCTGTATACATTGCTTCTCATGCATACTGTATAAGCACAACTATATTTCAAGTTTAGACCAGACCAATTCTATTTCTTGTTTTACGTATCCTCCAATTGTATTTTTTCAAGAATACGAAAAGAAATAAAAGTGAATTTTTCCCGCTCAAAAAATAAAATCCTAATGTTTTTATTGGTCAAAAATGTAAACTTACAAGAAATTCTTCTGAGGACAAAAATATGTAAAACAAGATATCATTGGTCTGGCCTTATTGATAAAGAACATGGCACATAACCCAAGAATTGATTACCAAACACCAAATTCAGTTCCAACAGGGAAGACCTGCAGACAACCCTCCACCCTGCTAAAAGACTGAGTATGGGTTTACACTACTTTTAGCAATATTCCAATATTATGGCGGAAGACACCAGAAATGGACTTGAAACATTGTACCGATGTGGGGAATCGAACCGGGCCTTCGGCATGATGAGAGAACACTTTAACCACTGGGCTACCCCCAACCCACCTAAAAGAGTAGAATTCACACTCTCTCAAATTTTCTAAAGTTACACACTCACCCTGTGTGCATAGTGGTAACAAAACAGGCTCTGTCGTGACGAAGATGTATTATATTTTATTTATTGTACAGTTTATGAATGTACTGATTGATTAAAGTAAAGTGCAATCATGACTTGACAGATTGATCAACAATCATCTAGAATGTGGGTGACACATAACAATCCCTTCCTCTGTCAAACTCTTTGAGACAATGATACATAACTGAGAGAGAGAGAGAGAGAGAGAGAGAGAGAGAGAGAGAGAGAGAGAGAGAGAGAGAGAGAGAGAGAGAGAGAGAGAGAGAGAGAGAGAGAGAGAGAGAGAGAGAGAGAGAGAGGTGTCATCAGTTTTTAATATTTATAAATGGTAGTATGGAAGGAAATGCTGTTTTTGTTAGGTTGTAGGGGAAAATGCACTCTCATTACACGCTATTCGACTTTACACGACTCAGCAGAAGTAAAGACACTTCCGTGTTCAAGAGAGAAGTAGTGCGTACGAAACACGTATGACGTGGTCACATAAGCTCCGCCCACTCATGTTTATTTATGATTTCTGTGCACTTAAGACCATTGTAGGTTTAAAGGCACAACACACGTCACCGGAACATCATTTTCCAGCATGATAACGCCGGGCACATACTGCCAGAGTTACACGGGACTTCCTACAACAGAACAGTGTCAACATTATGCAGTGGCCAGCCCTTATTCCTGATTTAAATCCAGTTGAACATCTTTGGGATGAAATTCAGAGGAGACTGTATAATGTCATACCAAGACCAAACACAGCCGATTTATTGCGCCATGCCTTTCTCAGAGTGTGGTTCAAGGTGCCAATGGCCTTCATCAATCGATTGGTGCACTCCATGCATAGACGCTGTGCTGCAGTTATTGCCGCTCGTGGTGGTCACACTAGATACTGAAGTCAAAAGTCTGAATGGACTGCAAACGTTCACGTAATGTCTTAGAATTGTGCTGAGTTATTCATGGATGTGTCAACATATTGTACACAAATGTTTTTGATCCGCTTATTATGTCCATCTCTGTAGTGATTTGATTACAGTGCCTATCTAATTTTGAATTCGTACTGACGTTTTTTTTGCTGTTGAGTATATAACTGAATAAAATAATTTGGGAGACCACAGGTTACACGTTAGATGAAAGCAAAGAGGTGGTAGATCAAGGATCCTAAAGACTGTTCAGGTTTAAAATTCCATTTCTGCTTCATTTTATTTTGTGCTCACTAGATCAAGATATTGATTATTAGAGATAATTTCATTACATTTTTATAAGTTTGGTAGCAATACATATGATATAAAATAATGAAAATATGCAGGTTTTTGCTTTTTCCAATTCTGCATTATGTTACATAATCATGACTTTCATCACATTACATACCTTGAAGTTCTTTCATGCTAATTAAGCCAAGGACATCTCTATGACAATTATTTCTGGAGCTTGAAAGCATATTTCAAAGAGAGTTTCGTCGGATTGTCAAGACAGGTTATTTTTCTTCCATTAACGTACTATATTTACATATTTTTTTTAATCCCTGGGCCAAATGTTCTTTTAAGCGGCACAAGCGATTCCTAGCGGCAGCATCAAAGTCGATCTGCTGACAAGCAATTATTAGGGAAGGCAAGCAAGAGATGCACTTAGTGTTGAACTAATGTTAAATGCAGGAGAGTTACCATGGTAACCACCAGTAGCTGCTTCAAATAGGGAACACCTTTCCCGGGTTGAAAAATCCACCTGTCCACGCAATTTTGTTAAAAACCAATGTCTGAGACTAAAGTTATTTTAGAGTTTATCAATCCTTAACATCATGTTGGATTAATATTAAACAGATCAATGTCCATCTGGGTTGTTTTGGTTTTCTTACATTCTACTAAGCACAAAGGAACTGAGCACATCACAGAAGACTTCATGTATTGTGTCCTAGGGCCTTCACATAGCAAGTTGAGGTGACAGAATTCCATTCTGTCTCAGAATTGTTCATTTAGTGAAAAAGGGCTTAAAGAAATGACTCAAAAACCGTTTGTATTTTATAAGGTGTACATGCAAATCACTTTTGGTTGAGCTATGGGTGCCAAATAAAATTCCCAAGCATCCAGTTCTATTTAAAACCACATATCTGAAAACACATAATTTTTATCTCTTAAATCCATCCTGGTGAGCTTTCCTAACCTGGATTATTCAATATGAAGCCTGTGGGTCAGGTAATATAGGGGTTGATAGTGTGAGCACCAACAATTCACCAGAGTGTGTGAGTGAGTGAGTTTAGTTTCACGCAACACTCAGCAATATTCCAGCTATATGGAAGCAGTCTGTAAATAATCGAATGGGGACCAGACAATCAACAGCATGAGCATCGATCTACGCAATTGGGATAAGATGACATTTGTCAACCAAGTCCGCGAGCCAGACCACCGGATCCCATTAGTCGCCTCCTACCACAAGCATGGGTTACTGAAGACCAATTCTAACCCGAATCTTCACGGGTCCAATACACCAGAAAAGTAAGGTCTTTCTCACAGCTTCCTACAGCTCCAAAATCATGAGACACAAGACATATATGCTTTCAAAACTCTTTTATCACTTTCTTACAAACACCCATGTGGGGGTCATAATTCAAACAGCACAACTGTAAACCTATTGTTTCCTACTGATGCATTGATTTTTTGAATTATCTGTCTGTACAGTGTTTACTTCATGAATTACAGGTGTGTAACTTCTTAATCTTCATGGAAACTAAACAAACATCCATCAACTATCTAACAAAATATTCTTCATGTGCCATCACTAATATTCCAGGTAGATCTCTTTGACATGTGAATCATTGAGTGGAAGAGCTAATGGTAAGAACAATGTCCTATTCTGGTGATACGACCACAGACAAAGACCAAGTCACACAGCACTATCACCAGATCACCATGTTGTCTCCTTTCTCAAAGACTGTCTGACTGACTGAGTTTGGTTTTGCGCCACTTTTAGCAATATTCCAGCAATATCACGGTGGGGGGACACCAGAAATGGGCTTCACACATTGTACCCATGTGGGGATTCGAAGCTTGGCCTTTGGCGTGACGAGCGAATGCTTTAACCATTAGGGTACTTCATCGCCCCCCTTTCTCAAAGAGCAAGAGTGTGCTGGGGTTGATTCTAGTTATCATGTCCACATAAATACAATGCTTCTTAAGTTCATCTTAACCTACTTATACACCATGCTATATCTGGGATTACGTTTTCTCAATAAAGTACTGATTCTAGTACTTTCGTTAGGTTGAGGCCCAACTGGGATTGAAAATCACTGTCTAGAGTCAAGCACCTCATCCCCAGCACACAAAGTTAGCCACCTAACCCGCTCAACCACCGTGGCTTCCACAAATGGAAGTCGGACAGCTGGTAGTCTAGGTCATGTACGTTGTGTACCTGTGATCTTTAATTTGATAACATATCTAAATTCATTCAAACTGCACAAGATCTTTCCCTTACCTGGCCATCAACATTTCAAATGCTGAGTAAATGAATGTTGTTTTACGCCACTGAATATTCCAGCAATATGACTGTACCCTGTATAACAATCTGGGCAGGCACCATGATCTGACAATGATCCAGGCTATCATGCCATGTTATCACAGCTTGTTCAACAAGTTTTGGATTGCCCTTGAACAAGAATGTGAAACTACAGGCCTATAACGTGATTACATACCTCTGAATGCCTTTGATTAACCAATCACACCAGTATTTACTGAAGTCGTGGTAGAATATATGATGTACATAGGGACAAATTCGGGACCAAATAAATATGTCGGTTTACAGGGAATGTCGGATTAGAGGGAAGTCTGTTTAGAGGGAGTCCACTGTATATAATTATGATGCAGTCTCTGTGAGAATCTGATTTTGCCAAAGCCATTATAAACACTTCCTTTCTTTGTTTATTGCACAATGTTTTACACTATACATTTTGGTTTTGTTAACGTGTCCTGGAGGTAGTTCTTACTGAGAATTTATATTCCTGTGAATGTTAACTGGAACATGTCGCATAGCACTATAGCCAGAGGTTAAACAGACAACAGATATAATATTTGTTGCAAGCAATAAACCTAGTGTTTAAAACTCTATAATATAAGTGAACTTATCATATAAAGTACACTTTATTGAGCTGTTGTGTTATAATTACTTCTCACTGTTCACATAATGTTGGTGGTAGTGAACTGGTTAACATGTCCCACTGAAGACCTGAGTTTGATTCCCTACATGGGTCGAAAGTTGAACCCGTTTCTAGTGTCGTACCAAGACATTTACGGGATTTTAATGTGATGTAAAATGATCACTGGCTCAAAACACTTTCAACAAAATTAAACGTTTCAATGGTTAAAATGAAAAGAAAAAAAATCATAAAAAATGCTTAAGATTTTGTTAATGAAATTCTCTTTAATATTCAAAGAGGTTACTTACTTCCGTTATTTTTAAAAAATATGCTTCACATGCTGTGACCATGTGAGGAATCAAACCTGGTACTTCTATTCTATATGCACCTTAACTACTTTGCCACCCCAACATATTCAATTATATCGAAACTGTCCCAGAACCCAAACCCAAACCTACATCCATGATGGTGGAAAGTCGTTTTTCTGATGTGCCTGTTCAATCATTCAGGAAATGGACCATATGAGCATTTAATGATTTCAGATTGAAAATGGCATATTAATGACAGTTATAGTAATTGTCTGAGTTACAATAACATAAATTAAATTAGGAAATCCATCAAATCTGCCAGTATGTTTCTGTATCCAACACAGAATCCACATCTACATTAACTGACGATGGCGTATAATGTTTCACTGTGTAGACTCAGCACATCTTTGACTGTCGCCGATGTTAACGCTCCTTTGTTGTCTTTCGTCTTGCTGAGAGTCACAGATGAACTGTTGACACCGAAAACAGCTCGAACCTGGAAACAAAGCAACATTTCCTGTACCATAATTCATTTTGTCATAAGAGATGTTTTCCTCCATAGAGAGGCGGCAATCTGTAAATAATCGAGTATGGACCAGACAATCCAGTGGTCCACAGCATGAGCATCGACCTGCGCAATTAGGAACCGATGACATGTGTCAACCAAGCCAGCGAGCCTGACCACTCGATCCCGTTAGTCACCTCTTACGACAAGCATGGGTTACTGAAGGTTCATTCTAACCCGGACCTTCACGGGTATCCTCCTTAGAAAGCAAGAAATAGACAAATGTCATCTTCAGTGAAAACTAGTATCCTTTTACTTAATATGATATTCTTGGGCATTAACAACTGACAACCCCTTCATATGACTGACTGACTGACTGAGTTTGGTTTTACGCCGCTTTTAGCATTATTCCAGCAATATCATGGCGGGGGACACCAGAAATGGGCTTCACACATTTTGCCCATGTGGGGAATCAAACCCGGGTCTTTGGCGTGGCGAGCCAACGCTTTAACCAGCAGGCTAACACCCACCCCCAACCCCCATATGACGTCACGTTTGTTTGTTTGTTTGTTTAATGCTGTGCTCATCAATTTTCCTGCTATATGACTGCCGTCTGTTGGAAATGAAGTCGATACCACACAATGACGTCACGAGCATCAATCTACGCAACTGGGATAGGATGACATGTGTCAACCCAGTCAGCAAGCCTGACCTCCCGATCTTGCAACAAGCATGTATTTCCGACAATAACCCAGATCTTCACGAGTGTACAATGTTGTGAAAATTAACTTTTATTTCTACATGAAGAATATGTGGGTTCTTAAGCCAATCAGATGTTCAACTTTTCAAAAAAATTCAACTTCATTATTTATAATTTGAAAATTGTAAGTTGGAAAACAGAAAGCTCACAGGGAACATAAACATTCCTTTAACAATATTGATTTGTAGATCCTCAAAGGGAGATGGAATTTAAAATATCCCCAACAACAATTGAGCTGCCTTTATTATTTGCATTTAGAACTAGCCATGTCACTTCACTCCAGCTGGTTCACTTGCTCACACCTAGAACTTAATGCCTTGACGCATGACCTCATTTGGTTTGTGTATTTGTTTGCTGCATACCAGTGAAGGTCCGGGTTGGAATATTGACCTTCAGTAACCCATGCTTGTCGCAAGTGGCGACTAACGAGATCGGGTGGTCAGGCTCGCTGACTTGGCTGACACTTGTCATCAGTTCCCAATTGTGCAGATCGATGCTCATGCTGTTGGTCACTGGATTGTCTGCTCCAGACTCAATTATTTACAAATTGACGCCATATAGCTGGAATATTGCTGAGTGCGGCACAAAACTAAACTCACTCACTCACTGTTTGCCGTACACAGTATGTTTCCAGCATTATGGCTGCAGTCTGTAAATAACCGAGTCTGGACCAGACAATCAACTGACATCATGAGCATCAATCTATATAATTAGGATACAATGTCACCAAGCCTGACCATCTAATCCTGTTAAGTCAAGCATGGGTTGCTGAAGTTCAATTCTAATCAATATCTTCACTGGTAGACCTCGTTCTAAGACAATGAGAAATTTTCATGCAGAGAGGTATTGTATTTGAGCAAAATATATAATTATACAGCTATTGTGACACAACAAACTTATTAAGAAATGTAAGATTCCATATGAATAAGGAAAATCCATGAACACAATAACGCACCTGGTCTAAGAGTTGGTCTAGTGAGAGGGTATCACCTCGAGGGTTCTCCAAGAGTAATGTGCCCTTCTCAGCCTTGCCTTTTGACCTGATGACCTCAACATTAGCAAAGTGACACACTGGTGTGGTGACCCCTGCTGGTGTTGGGCCTGACTGATCGGATGACCCAGATATATACAGTGTTCGCGATGAGTAGTCAGCCATCTTGGAATCAGGGGAGAACTGTTTTGTGCGAGCTGCATCCTCAAACACCTTAACTGTTTGTCCCCGAACTCCAAACACTCTTTGTGCCTGTGATAAGAAGAGTTATAATGGAGGATTGCACAGCTGTAAGGAATATCAACAATGTTTTTAAATTTGTGGGTAGATTAAATACAGACTTAATTACATACAGACTCAAAATACATTAACTAACAGTGCCCCAAAGCTGATGTTTCTCCCCTACATGATCGCATACATGCATCCATCCATCCATCCATCCATTTGTATAGCGCCGATATCCAGCTCAACTGCTCAAAGGCACTTTTTTTTTCCCCTCGATCACTGGATGTCAATATCAACGGCACGTCATATTATCAATCTCAACTCCCTGGGGATCATACAACTCTTGCAGACTCATATCCCACTCTAATGATATCATTACACATCTATAAAATATGCCATAAGTGAAATCCAACAACTTCTAATCAAGCCTACCTCTGCCGCCAAGTCCTTTGCTGCCAGAGGAAAGCTCCCCCACAGGGTTCTCCAATAGTAATGTGCCCTGTCTACCAGTAAAACCTTCTTGTGCTACAGCTCCTAACAGGGTCAGGTTTAGAAACCTACAATTTGGCTTGACACCATTCTTGACAGGCGCTGGAACGAGATCTGATGCTGCGGAGCTTGTAGGAGATCCCGATGCAGTGCCTTGTCTCACGATGGCTAGTTCGATCTTGTCAGACTTGATCTGCAAAGAACAGTGCATCAATACAGTAGGCCATGTCGAAGTGATTCCCTGTCAGCCTGTTCCTTTACATTTTTTCCATCAGCATATAACAATGATAATACACTGAATGCTGCTATAGTCTGTTTGCAGTAAAAACGCACCGATGAATTTCACTTTAAACAAAGAAAGAAAATCAAATAAAGTGAAATTAAGATTGCGAATCCTCATAATTTTACCTTGTCAATTGAACATTTAAATCTCAGAATTTTATTCAACATAGGGTAAAAGTTGTTTAACAAACGATCATAGATTCAAATCGCTAGTATTGGTTTGTATTACAAGGGGGTGAGCGCAGTACTTGGAACAGTGAAACAAATGCACGTGTGGTACGTAATGAACGTTAACACTATTTTTTGGTGTTTCGTTTAATGTGCATACACCCTTGTAATACAAACCAATACTAGCAAAATTATGAGGATTCGCTATCTTAATTTCACTGTATTTGATTTACGTTTTTGTTTAAAGTGAAATTCATCGGTACGTTTTCACTGCAAACAGACTATAGTTATCGCATTTGTTACTCATTATTCGCTACAGAATATTCATGATATATATCACATTTGTGTCATAGTGGATTTGTTGCTGCACTAATAGCGGGATGCCTCTAGACAACATCATGGGCAACATTGCTGATTGACCCTTACCTCCGAACTCTCCTTGATGAGTGGTTCCCCCTTGGCAGGGTAGGCCACCAGGGGTTGCTTGATGGTGGAGAAGATGAAGTCAGAGAACTCGGTGATGATACGAGTCAAATTTGCCGAGGCCTGATAGAACACGGTGATCTCATCATGGGGAGCCAGGTTCGCCTGAAGACAGTTCGAGGTCAGTCAACACAATATCATCATGCATACATAGCAGGTGAGGGGAGGTGAAATTGGGTTTAACGTCGTGCTGGAGAATATTTCGCTCATGTGACGACGTGCATGCGTGTGTATGTGTAGGTGCGGCTGCTTGTACTAGCCCAGACTGAAGTTGTTTATAGTGCTAGCCCACTGAGATACCATGCCGCAGTGAAGCGTGATTACCCCACTCAGACACATTATACTGACTCCGAGCCGACCAGTCCTTGATGTACCCATTAATGCCGAGCGCCAGGCAGTGACCAACAAGTACCATATTTTAACGTCTTTTGGTATGACGCGGTCGGGGATCGAACCCGAATCCTTCTGCTCTCCTGGCGGACGCTCTTATCACTACACCACAGAGGCGGTCCATACATAGCAGTGTGTGAGAGTGAAGGTTTGTTGTATGTTCAAAGTTAACAATATTTCTGTCAAGACAAGAAAATACGAAAACTTGGTACATTAAGTCACCACTTAAGAATAGCAGATTGGGAACCTATCATAACTCAGAATACTGTTTGACACTGTTTGGAGTTACCATGTGAGAAAAGACTGCGGGTGAAGAACAGGTAAGAATGCGTAAGTAAGGTCATATGTAAGTATGTATGTAAGAGAGCATAACTAAGATAAATAGGAAGCATACGTAAGTAAGATTTAAGGAAACATAAGTATGAAAGCGTAATTAAGATTTAAGTTGGAAAGCGTAAATGAGGTTGTAAGTAAGAAAGCGTAAAGTTGTATGAAGTGTAAGTAAGCTTTAAGTTGAAAAACTTAAGAAAGGTTGTAAGTTAAAAAGCACAAGTTGGGCTGTAAATAAGAAAGCGCAAGTAAGAAAGTGTAAGTATGTTTGTAAGATAGAAAGTGTAAGTATGTTTGTAAGCTAGAAAGTGTAAGTATGTTTGTAAGCTAGAAAGTGTAAGTATGTTTGTAACATAGAAAGTATAAGTATGTTTGTAAGATAGAAAGTGTAAGTATGTTTGTAAGATAGAAAGCGTTAGTATGTTTGTAAGATAGAAAGCGTAAGTATGTTTGTAAGATAGAAAGCGTAAGTATGTTTCTAAGATAGAAAGCGAAAGAATATTTGTAAGATAGAAAGTGTAAGTATGTTTGTAAGATAGAAAGTGTAAGTATGTTTGTAAGATAGAAAGCGTAAGGTTACAAGTAAGAACGTACAGGTGGGCTTGTAAGTTAGACAACATATGTAAGAGAGTGAAAATGTGTAAGTCTGAGATCATATAATTGTAATTAATAGAGCACAAGTACAAGAACATAAGACTGTGAGATAGTGAAAACAAGAATATAAATGAGAGTAATTCATAATTGGGTATTGGAAATCAAAAGTGACTGAGAGGCTTCACCTTCTTCCTGAGTTTCTGTATACGGTTAATGACCTCTCTGGCCACCCCCTCATCCAACATGGACTGGTCCGGACTGACATCCAGCAACACAAGGAGCTGAAAGATGAAGCCGAGTTGTCAGCAGCTGTTGCAACATCACCATAAACACATCCGACACTATTTCAGGATATGAGACTGATCATGCGGGTCTACAACTTCGGCTGAAACAGTATATACTGAAGGAAACAAATAAGGGAACACTACTTTATCTCTGTGTTCCTTTATGCCCAGATTTTCACAATGCAATACAAAGCTGGTGAAGAAGCGTGGAACAGAATAAAGGAACACTTTGCTTTCATGCGTACCCTTATTTGTTTCACTCTGAATACTCATCATCCTGACAAACAATACAAGAATCAAGAGTGAATTCGAATTTGGGAATGGAGAACGCATATTTCTGAAAGTTATATCCCCTTGATTAACGGAATCAAAACCAGTTTCAAGTCAGTTTCAGAATATCCGGCCATAGAAACAAAGTCTTCAAACTCACTTCTCCTTCTGAATGAGCTTCATACTGTTGGCTCTTGCCAGCCGTGTCGACAACGCTGTACATTATTCTCAGATCTTCCGGCGCCAGGACATGTCCTCCAACAGTTATCTCCCCTGATTTTTGGAACGTCACAAGTTGAGCATCTGTGAGCTGTTGGATCTCCTTCATGACGTTCTTGAAGTCTCCCTTGAGTCTGGCACCCAGGACTCTGTGATCTGGTTCTGCTTTTAGATGTACGCCATATTTCTCCTTGTTGGTTGTGGTGGTCAGGGACCGCACATTCAGCTCCTGGACAAATGGGAGATAGATGAGTGCATGTATCAAGTTGTAGAACAAAGACACCATAAATTTTTAACAAGTAATGTCAATGTCATTCACTTCTTTTTCAAAATACTGAAATCTCAAAAGTTTGTTTGTGTTTTGTCACTCAGCAGTATTCCAGCTAAATGGTGGCGGCCTGTAAATAATCGAATCTGGACCAGACAATCTAGCCATCAACAGCATGGGCATAGATCTAAAGAAATGCTATGGTTAGATTTCCTTGAATTAACTTCACGTGTCATGAAACGAAGTACGCAAAGTCAAACAAACTGCAAGTGCACAAGGGATTAAGAAACTCAGAGGTTACACAAGATATTGAACTTTAGCCACACGCTTTGGGTTCACATCTCATTCACGTGACATGGCATTCATTTTCATATGAAACAAAGCAATTACGTCATTCTGAATGAATTTTAGTATTAAGTAAGGGTATCATCAGTCTAAAAAGTTTGTCAGTTCATTTTGTATTCAGGCAAAGGTTGACTGACTGACTGAGTTTGGTTTTACTCCGCTTTTAGCAATATTCCAGCAACATCACGGCGGGGGACACCAGAAATGGGCTTCACACATTGTACCCATGTGGGGATTTGAACCTGGGTCTATGGCGTGACGAGCCAATGGTTTAACCACTAGGCTACCCCACTGCCCCGGCAAAAGTTGAACAGACATATTGTTGCACAGCTTATATATCACATTGTATGCCAAGTCTTTACACACCAATATCTGTCTGCAGCTTTACATTGCAGTCAACCCAATCGTGTGGCTTGTACATGTTTGTGTCTGGCACAGACATACCAGTGATTGATATTACAAGCAGGGAAATAATGAGCAGTCACTAAGAATACTGTATGTATTCTGACCTGAAGGATGTATTTCTCCAAAGACCTGATGTCGTCCAGGGCACTGGGGTCTTTATGGATGGCGACCACTTCCTTCAGAGGATACTGCAGCAGGCAAAACACCTCTCAATCAGATTAAACCACACAGGGAATGTTTAAGCAAATTTATGAACAAACTTGTATAAAGCCATGAAGCTATGACTACTATTGATGTGAATGTTGTTTTATGTTACAATAAGAGGTCAGGTCACAACTAGGTCCCACATTTTGATCTCTCAGTTTTCATTTATGTTTGACTAATCAGACCATTTCAAAATATGGATGAAAGATTACATGCTATTCCTACTGATAGGCTGCAACTAAATCAATATTATGACTTAACATGGACTTACAGACTTAGTGCTACAGTTGCTTTGTGCACACGGGGTCCAGGACACTGACCAGGCAAAGCAATTAGATTTCCCAAGCAATACTGCATCTTCAGTAACGTTGTTTTCTTCAAGACCTAGAGCTACAACAGCTTTGTGCATACTGGCCTATGACAGTGCTCAAACAATTAGATGTCTACAAACAACTCACCTTCACTGGCATCGTCTTCCTGTCTCGGATGACTCGACCCAGTTCAATGACAGTCTGCATGCTGGACACAGCATTCTCTATCTTTGTGTCGATCAGGGCAGCTCTGTTCAACAGGATATGAGACACCTTAATCAACACCACACACATGCAGGCACACAGCATTCTCAATCTTTGTGTCGATCAGGGCAGCTCTGTTCAACAGGATATGAGACACCTTAATCAACACCACACACATGCAGGCACACAGCATTCTCAATCTTTGTGTCAATCAGGGCAGCTCTGTTCAACAGGATATGAGACACTTTAATCAACACCACACACATGCAGGCACACAGCATTCTCAATCTTTGTGTCAATCAGGGCAGCTCTGTTCAACAGGATATGAGACACTTTAATCAACACCACACACATGCAGGCACACAGCATTCTCAATCTTTGTGTCAATCAGGGCAGCTCTGTTCAACAGGATATGAGACACCTTAATCAACACCACACACATGCAGGCACACAGCATTCTCAATCTTTGTGTCAATCAGGGCAGCTCTGTTCAACAGGATATGAGACACCTTAATCAACACCACACACATACTGGCACACAGCAGTGTTGAACCACATTCAAAATGGTAACTGAACTCAAGGACCAAACGGCAACGACGTGTTGTTAGCAACAGAATTCAGGGAAATGTCTGGATACTACAAATGTCTATCACCGTGCCAAGGGCCAACAACTTGTAGTTGATGATCAGGGTACTGTTTACACACAGTGTGTGTTGAACATAAAAAGAGGATTGAGCAAATCGGCCTACAAACTGCAACAGTCTGCCAAAACTATACAAAATGTATGCCATCAGTGAGTAAACAGTCTCCATGGTTGACAACAATCTGAAAACTGTTTGTAAAACCACTTACTTTCTCCAGCAATTTACCAAAAGTCATCCTTTGCCTCCAACCATCACCCAAGAATTATCTGTCTGTCAACTGTCTACCTGTCTGTCAACTGTCTACCTGTCTGTCAACTGTCTACCTGTCTGTCAACTATCTACCTGTCTGTCAACTGTCTACCTGTCTGTCAACTGTCTACCTGTCGGTCTACTGTCTACCTGTCTGTCTACTGTCTACCTGTCTGTCAACTGTCTACCTGTCTGTCTACTGTCTACCTGTCTGTCAACTGTCTACCTGTCTGTCAACTGTCTACCTGTCTGTCAACTGTCTACCAACTGTCTACCTGTCTGTCTACTGTCTACCTGTCTGTCTACTGTCTACCTGTCTGTCTACTCACCTGGGTTGTGGCACCAGGAGGAAGTGGACACTCCTGGTATCCTCCTTGTTAGACAGGACCTGCGGCTGATAGCGGCGGAGATTCTGGTACATCAACTCTGTCAGGAACGGCGTGAAAGGTGCCTGCAAGGGAGATAATCTATCAACTACACAAACTGTTGGCAAAGATCAACATATTACAGACTTCACTGGATAAACTCTGGTTTCTAACAGATGAAGGAATGGGTATTACACCCTCTACACACTAGAAACTTTTAGTCCCTAGGTTTTGCTAGGAAGGAATTGACTGGGTAACCTGCAACCTGTGGCAACCTAGCCAGTCACAAATAACTGAAGCAGCTTTATTATTTAACATTTGAAACATCTGATCACCTACCATGACTTTAGTCATGGAGAAGAGGACGCTGTAGAAGGAGTCAAGGGCCTGGCGACAGTCGTCCACGCCGCCCTCACCCTTCAGGCGCTTTCGGTTCATCCTCACGTACCAGTTGGTCAGCTGGTCAACAAACCGGACGAGGCGCGGCATCACTGTGTACAGGTGGTACACTGAAACAGGAGGAGATAGTAAGGGCATCAGGAGGCGATACTGGGGCATTGGGGGAGATACTGTGGTACGATGAGATACTAGGCATGATGAGGAGATACTGGGGCATGAGGAGATACTGGGGCATGATGAGGAGATACTTGGGCATCATGAGATACTCGGGCACGATGAGGAGATACTTGGGCATCATGAGATACTGGGGCACGATGACGATACTGGGGCATGACGAGGAGATACTGGGCACGATGAATAGATATTGGGGCATGATAAGGAGATACTAGGCACGATGAGGAGATACTGGGAGATGAGGAGATACTGGGGCACAATGAGGAGATACTGGGGCACAATAAGGACATACTGGGCACGATGAGATACTGGGATATGATGATGAGATACTGGGACATGATGAGGAGATACTGGGGCTTGAGGAGATACTGGGACATGATGAGATACTGGGACATGATGAGGAGATATTGGGACATGATGGGGAGATTCTGGGGCTTGAGGAGATACTGGGACATGATGAGGAGATACTGGGACATGATGAGGAGATTCTGGGGCTTGAGCAGATACTGGGATGTGATGAGGAGATATTGGGACATGATGAGGAGATACTGGGACATGATGAGGAGATTCTGGGGCTTGAGGAGATACTTGGACATGATGAGGAGATACTGGGACATGATGAGATTCTGGGGCTTGATGAGGAGATACTGGGACATGATGAGATACTGGGACATGATGAGATACTGGGCACAATGAGGACATACTGGGATATGATGAGGAGATAATGGGGCGCAATGAGGTCATACTGGGGCTCGATGAGGAGATACTGGGGCACAATGAGGAAATACTTGTGCATGAGATACTGGGGGCATAATGAGGAGATACTGGGGCACGATGAGGAAATTCTTGTGCATGATGAGATACTGGGGGCATAATGAGGAAATACACAGGGCATGAGGAGATACACAATTCACTTGTTTCAAAAATAACTTATTTTTTTCTTTTTCTCTTTTGTCTTTCATTTCTTTTCCTTTTGCAGACTTTCTACAAATACACATAAGAATAGAACTAATATGCCAAAGGTCAGAATCGGTTATGTTTCCCAACAAGGCTGAGGTGATCACTCACAAGCCATTTCCTTCCTGACGAAAGTGATGAGAGACTGTGTGAAGGAGAGGATCCATCGGTCCATGTAGTTCTCAGACACCTTCACCGTGTCCTCGTTGTACACGTACGTCACACCCTCCTCCTGGAACAAGCAACAAGAGACATATAAACACAGGACCATGTGCACCAAGACAACCTGGAACCTGGAACATGTGACCTACAAGACAACCTAAACACAATATCCTGTAACATGCTCAAGAGCCTGTAACATGTGATGTACAAGACAACCTGCTGCTCAAGAGCCTGTAACATGTGATGTACAAGACAACCTTGTGCTCAAGAGCCTGTAACATGTGACCTACAAGACAACCTAAACACAAGATCCTATAACATGTGATGTACAAGACAACCTGCTGCTCAAGAGCCTGTAACATGTGATGTACAAGACAACCTGCTGCTCAAGAGCCTGTAACATGTAATGTACAAGACAACCTGCTGCTCAAGAGCCTGTAACATCACACATGGTATTCCCTGACCTAACTCATATCACCTGATACAAATGAAGGCTGGACAGTTTTTTGAGAAAGTCAGATAAAAGCTTATATAATTCAGCTTCATTGCTTTACCAACTCTGTCATCTATTCTAACACTTCCATCTGAGTAAAATAAACTCCCACAGTATGCAATTTTGTCTGGGATTGCACCCTTCAGGGTGTAGATACAACTAGGTGTAAACAATCCACAAGATCACGTGATCATTAACAATCTCCATTTATCACTCACTGGTACCAGGGGTTTAGAGTGAGTGAGTATGGTTTTACGCCGTTTTTAGCAATATTCCAGCAATATCACGGCGGGGGACCCAAGGAATGGGCTTCACACATTGTGCCCATGAGGGGAATCAAACCCGGGTCTTCTGCGTGACGAGCGGACGCTTTAACCACTAGGCTACCTCACCACCCCCAGGAGTTTAGAAGTTGATAGGCAGGCCACAGTTCACCTTACCTGCATTAATGTGTAAGGTTTGACTAAGCTGAATGGACATACCTGCAGGTATCTAATCAAGCAAAAGATAAGATTAAGAAGACAGACAAAAAGTTACAGATTGAAGAGACTGTACACCGCCATACCCTCTCTAGTCGGTCTATGTTCTGCATGAGGAATCGGTAGGCGTTGTACCAGGGCAGGAAGACGTCCTTGAGGACATCTCTCACCCCGGACTCCTTGAAGCGCAGGTTCTCCGCCCTCACAGATGGGGAGTTGATCAGGTACAGTCTGAAACAAGTGTCACGTCAAGTGATTCTGTACTCATCAGTGTCAATGGTGGCATGGGGTCCTGTGCAAAGAGCACGCTCACAAATCAGTGAGCAATTGTTCTTGGATGGGTGATTGTTGGGCAGCTTGACTCCTGAGAGTTTCTAGGACTTCAGTCCTGCCCCACATGGAACACTTATGGTCTCACTTTAATCTTGCGAGAGTTCAAAATTGCCTGTTCACCCAGCAGTGAATTGGTACCCGGTGGGATGAGATGACTGTTAGCCAACCAGCATCACATAGGCAGCTTGGGTTTTAGTGCAAACTGATCCACTGAGCAGGGCTAAAAATGTTGGTGTTTTGAACATAGATCTTGTGTATGGAGGCTAGCATGATATAATACCACACATTATAAGTACTTTCTACACTATATGCGAGCTGACAAGCACTAAATACCCATCATGGTACATCAAGTGGCAATTGCAGTGGTAGCTGGTAACACAAAGACCCAACCTAAACTTAAATCAATAGTTTCATTAAATACAACCCTCCCTTCCAATAACAATCAAATCTTTGTAACTAACCTAAGTGCATCTGCACCAAACTTGTTGACGATCTCTACAGGGTCGGGATAGTTCTTCTTCCTCTTGCTCATCTTCTGTCCATCTCTGTGATACAGACACAATGTTGCCATGGTTACAAAATCATAAAAATGTAATTTTTGGAGTAAAATTGATATTTTATACTTATCCTGACTCATGCTCTTTTTGCTTGTCTTCTTCTTCTTGCGAACATAGTGGAACACTTGTATCTCCCTAATTGAAGCTCCCTTCAATTTAAAATCACTAATTAGTATTCACCACGAGTTACCTCCTTTCCACAAGCGCGGGAGCGAGGGCGCCACCTCTACCCATGTGCCTCACTCTCTCCTCATATACTGAGCCCAACATTTGAATTTACAGGGGAAATCCAAAGTGTTATTTGGGGAGGATGGGAGGGCTGACCTCATGAGTCAGGATAAGTATAAAATATCAATTTTACTCCAAAAGTTACATATTTTTCCTTATCCTGACTCATGCTCTTTTGCTTGTAGCATCCTCTGAGGAACGGAGGTGGGAATATCTAATACTTTGGATTTTTAATAATTAGTGATTTGAACTGTGATGATTGTAATAACCCTATGGGAACTTCATAAAGGCACTGAACTGATGAATTCCTGCTGCTAACTTATCAGCTGCCATATAAAAGGTTATTACCATGTACTTATTATGATAAAGTATATATAACATTAATACAATGCTTAAGACTAATAGACTTAAGCTTGTTAATATCTTCTAGTATAAACTCCTTAGAGTTTGTTAGCTAAAATACTTTAAGATATAACATAGTACTAAGCTTAAGATATGATTAAACTTAAGCTAATTATATAATAACAAACTCTTTAGAGTTTGTTAGTTAATATACTTATATGATATAGATATAATGCTGAGCTTAAGATATGAATAAGCTTTAGCTACATATATAATAGCAAAAACTCTGTAGAGTTTGTTAGCTAATATATTTTTATAATATGAGTATAGTACTGTGCTTAAGCTATAATTAACTTAAGCTACATATATAATAGCCAAACTCTGTAGAGTTTGTTAGCTAATATATTTTTATAATATGAGTATAGTACTGTGCTTAAGCTATAATTAACTTAAGCTACATATATAATAGCCAAACTCTGTAGAGTTTGTTAGCTAATATATATTTATAATATTAGTATAGTACTGAGCTTAAGATATAATTAACTTAAGCTACATATATATAGCAAAACTCTGTAGGGTTTGTTAGCTAATATATTTTACAATATGAGTATAGTAGTGTGCTTAAGATATAATTAACTTAAGCTACATATATAATAACAAAACTCCGTAGAGTTTGTTAGCTAATATATTTTACAATATGAGTATAGTAGTGTGCTTAAGATATAATGAACTTAAGCTACATATATAATAATAGCAAAACTCCGTAGAGTTTGTTAGCTAATATATTTTACAATATGAGTATAGTATTGTGCTTAAGATATTATTAACTTAAGCTACATATATAATAGCCAAAAACTCTGTAGAGTTTATTAGCTAATATGTTTATAGTGTAACCATAGTACTAAGCTTAAGATAAGATTAGACTTAAGCTAAAAGTATATAGCAAAATAAACTCCTTAGAGTTTATTAACTAATATACTTTTATGTTAAAAACATAGTACTGAGCTTAAGTTATGATGAAACTTAAGCTATATATATATAATAACAAAACTCCGTCGGTTTTGTTAGCTAATACTGCTATAATGTAAACATACTGCTTAAGATATGATGAAACTTAAGCTAATTGTATAATAATGCTTGAAAACAACCCTTTAGAGTTTGTTAGCTATGATATAAACCTAGTATTGAGCTTATGAAGGAAAACTTAAGCTACATATATAATAGCAAGAACTCCGTAGAGTTTGTTAGCTAATACATGTTATAATGTAACCATAAAGCTTAAAATATGATGAAACTTAAGCGAAATATATAATAGCAAAACCCTCTTTTAGAGTTTTGATAGCTAATATACCTATATGATATAAACATAGTACTGCGCTTAAGATATGAATAAGCTTAAGTTACATATATAATAGCTAAAACTCTGTAGAGTTTGTTAGCTAATACATGTTATAATATAACCATATTGCTTAGAAATATGATGATACTTAAGCCAAATAGCAAAAAACTCTTTAGAGTTTGTTAGCTAATCTACTTATATGATATAAACATAGTACTAAGCTTAAGATATGAATAAGCTTAAGCTACCTATATAATAACAAAACTCCTTAGAGTTTGTTAGCCAATATATTTTAATAATATGAGTATAGTACTATGCTTAAGGTATAATTAGCTTAAGTTACCTATATAATAGTAAAACTCCGTAGAGTTTGTTAAGCTTAATTAACTTAAGCTATGTATAAAATAGCCAAAAACTCTGTAGAGTTTGTTAGCTAATGCATTTATCATGTAACCATAGTATTACTCTTAAGATATGAATAACTTAAGGTAAATATATATAATAACAAACTCTGTAGAGTTGTTAACTTATATATTGTATGATGTAATAATCATAGTACTGTGATGATAAAAGGAACTTAAGTAAATTATACATAGCATGAAGCTATTTAGTATTGTTATAAGATAAGTAAAATCTGTTAGATTGACTTATCTTCTCGAGAGAACTGTCGGCTGTTGTGCGAGGACCATGGGATCGAATTGGTGTATACCTGAGGCGTCCTCGGTGGTGATATCTCTCAGATAATGGTTTGCAACCACCATATCGGTTTTCAGAAATAAACCCTCCATTATTTCAATCACATTTGTGTAGAACAATTGTAGAAGTTAGCTATAATATCATGAGTATTAAGCTCATGGAGGGTTGGAATAGGTCCATCCGCATATGCGCACGTAGTATGACAGTTCTGATCAAAATGGAGATATAGTACATGAGACTTCACTCTGCGTAAGTTGATGATAGAGGAAATAATCTGTTGCATTTTTCCTCCTGTTTGGTTTGGTGGAGATAAATTTACAGTGCTCTTGCTGGCCAACTTGATAGAATCATCGTATCATGGGGTCCAAGTATGTCATCCAAGCGTGTTCATAAACCTCACTTGTGAGGTGTTGGAGCACTATATTCATATCCCCAGGTTGGCAGTGAAATTTCCGTTTTATTCTCCAAACAGAAGTTTAGTAGGTTTACTAACCATCTAGTTGTGTTAGTCGGCTTGATGAAATTCAGCTGTAGTCTGAAACGCTGTGGATTTAGATCCACTTGTATCTTTGTCTAGGTAATTAAGCTGCGAAGTCCTTGGCGATGTAGGTGCACAACCAGGTGTGTCTGTCCTCGTTGAACTTTATGTAAAATCGCCTGACTGCCGATCCCTCGTCTTAACTTGACAGGGAGGTCTCTAACTGAAGAAAGGCAGTCTAATCATGAATGTTCAGGTTAACTGGACTGTAATGAGGCTTGCTTTCGTTCACTGATATATAGTTGTCACTTGTGGCGTAAGTCTTGAACTGTGAATTGAGATCGACCTCTGTGTAGGTCGTTGTCCCTCATGCGGTCCAATCAGAACAAGGCATTTTGATTCTGTATAATACCAGCTGTGATGTCACCGGTGTGGCGGGAAAAAACCCACCTTGAATAAATTCTTGTAAATTCGTTGATATTAGCATAAGCGTCGGTCTTCACCGTAGCTTCGAAGTTATCCGGTGACCACGTGTTTGAGGGTTAATGGTATCATTGCGAAACCTCCGGCGAAATATCTGGCTCTCTGTAATTTTATGCTGGGTAGGTTATTTTCCTGGTTGTCGTTGAAAGTAATTTCAGTTTTGAATATAATTCCGACTTCCTTATATATAAGGGTATAAACAACTTGCAAGTTGTGAGCTTGTAGACTGTATACATGAATGTATCGTCATAATTGTAGAATTAACGTTGAACTTGTTGTACATATTTCTTCTCAGAAACTTTGGCGATTAAGAGTTATACTTCGCTGTAACAAGGCTGCTGTTCAATTTCGATATTGAATTGTCTGCAGATATGCGTAATGGTCGCATGTAGATAATCGTGCTCGTCGTCCGGGATTGTATATTAGCAATTTATCACGGAATAGTTGATTTCTGTGAAGATCTATGAAATGTCGTTGACTAATAATACAGCGGCGTTCTGTGTTGTAAATAGCCTGAGCAATTATCTTCGGCGTGAGCTTATAGGCGGCATCTGGCATACAGTTGATAATCAACTTATCGCGGCGTCTTGAAACGGACTGACGGTAGCTATATATATGCCGAGTGGCTAGTATATGGAAACCTTGAGGAGACTTCCTCGGTGAGCGCCGGAGACTTCGAGAAGTTCCGAAGTATCCCTTCTAGATCTTCTGGGTGAAGTAGACTTGGAGCCACTTAGTCTTAGCGACCATCGAAAGGTGTCGATCAAAGCCGATTAGTATATATATATATATATAAATATATATATGGCGCTTGCCGTGAACAGCCTCTGTGTTTAACAGGATGTGGGATCGTGGCGCTTGCCTAAAATAGAGCCGCATGGATCATCATTCAGAAGTCGTGTTCACGAAGTCTGGTGATAAGTGTCTAATTGATCGTTCTAGATCTATTTAGGCCAGCGAACATCGTCTCGTCATGGATTCAACAGAACCAATATACGATTGTAGTTCTTATACTTGATATCGATGATCAACTTGTCTATGGGTTGATCTTCTCCGGAGACTTGTGAGAGGGAGCGTTGATAGTTTCAGCGAAGCTCTTGTATAGTCCTTCGATGTCCTTCTAGATGATGATGATCTGGATTCAGGTGTCCTTGGCGCATGCCTTCGCGAAGCTTCCTCTGCGTCGGTCGGAGGACGACGATATGACCTTCGCCGAAGGCTTCCGTGATGTCTGATGGTCGAGTCCACATCTAGGGATGAAACCGCATAAGGTGATGATCTATCCTGCCTTCGCGAAGTCCTTCGTGAAGGCTGTACATCTAGGTTCTTTCTGCCTTCCACGCGAAGGCTGTACATCTAGGTCCTTCGTCAAGGTGGTCCGTGACTTCCTTCGCGAAGGTGACATCGTCCTGGCTGCTACGTTGACGGGGGGTGCCTCTGGGGTGCTGTCTACGTTGGAGCCTTCGCGAAGGCTCGGACCCTGCTACCGCAGATATAGTGGTCCTCCATGATGTTCATAATTTGTCGCATCATGTCTTCTGGGATGGTCTGCGACGAAGTCGTCGGTGCTTTATCTGCGGTGTTAATGTAGCTGTCACCAGTCGTTTCTTGTGGCGTACGTCGGGGATGATGATCAGCTGATCATCGTAGAGGTCCAGGTCATCGGCTGGAACAATCTCGGTTGAGAAAGTCCTAGTAGACTTCGTTGATTTTCCCTCAGAGGTCGACGCTGCCCTGGGTGTGCGACGTCTGCGTTGAGTGTTGGTAATGATGGGACCCTCAGGACGATCATCGCATATCTGCGTTGGTACATCAGGCTGCATGCTGATCTGAGCCGACATCGGTCAATCTTTGATGTACATCTGGTATGATGACCGGCTGATCATCAAACAGGCCCAAACTGCGATGGGAGCGGTCACCGGCTGTTGAGATGTGGTAGAAAAACCCTCTAGTCTTCTGCTGCGGCGATGGGATGTCTGGGGAAGCAGGATGCTTCTTGGAGATGGCGGACTCGTCCACACCTCTCCACCACTCTAGCGGAACACCACACGGGAGGGGAGTCGGCCAACAGCAGTAGACTGGCGAGGGTTCGGTGTATCAGTCATACTAGAGTCTGCATCTGGCGACCTATCTGCTGTCGCGTGCCAAGCGCCAAAGTAAATATTAATAAAAGGTAGAATTGGATAAATTAGTACCGCAACTGCAATGTGAATATAATAAACATGGCCGCAGGCACATCATATTAAAGGCGGATCAGCAGCAGCATAAAAAGCGTAATCTGCATAAGTACAGAATTTTCATCAACGTAATCCACTGAAACAAACACGGCGTCCCGTGAATAAACTGTAGAAAAGCGACTAAATATCAATATATAATCGTTGAAGGATACTAGCGAAACCTCTATAGATGTCTATCTGAGGTAACTAACTAAATATATTTCAAAGGATATAGTGTGTCGGGAGACACAGGCGCTCTCACGTCCAGCTCACTGGGCGAAGAAGGAGAGAGTGAGGCACATGGGTAGAGGTGGCGCCCTCGTTCCCGCGCTTGTGGAAAGGAGGTAACTCGTGGTGAATACTAATTAGTGATTTTAAATTGAAGGGAGCTTCAATTAGGGAGATACAAGTGTTCCACTATGTTCGCAAGAAGAAGAAGACAAGCAAAAAGAGCATGAGTCAGGATAAGGAAAAATTAAAACATTTTAAATCCTGCAATCATATAGGTCACAGTAAAAACACAAGCAACTGTGGGACCAACCTTTGAAATTCATGTTAACCCACAGGTCTGAGACAACTAAATTGTGCTTAGGACAACAACAATTCCAATGTTTACAATGGCCAGTAACATTGGAGAGCTATAATACATAAGAGTTCTCAATGCTTGGTTTTACTGTTAGTAATCAAGGCATGATGAGTCCTCTAGATTTATTTTAAAGTAACATACAAACATTTTCCAAAGGAGGTGAGGTGAGGTGAGGTGAAACTAGGTTTAACGTCGTTCTTCAGAATATTTCGCTCATATAACGAAGTGCATGCGTGTGTATGTGTAAGTGCGGCTGCTTGTACTAGTCCAGACTGAAGCTGGTTTTATAGTGCTAGCCCACTGAGATACCATGCCGCAGTGAAGCATGAATACCCCACTCAGACACATTATACTGACTCCGAGCCGACCAGTCCTTGTTGTACCTATTAATGCGGTAGCCAGGCAGGGACCAACAAGTACCATATTTTAACGTCTTTTGGTATGGCGGTCGAGGATCGAACCTGCGACCTTCCGCTCTCGGTGGACGCTCGCTCTAACCACTACACCACGGGAGGCGGTCATTTTCAAAGGAAGTAGCACAGAATGTTTGACATCAGTTAGCATGTCACAACTGACTAGGATAGCAAACTGCAAGATTGTCGTAACCTTTGTGCCTTATAAAAACCTTATGAGTGAGTGAGTTTAGTTTTATGCCGCTATTAGCAATATTCCAGCAATATCATGGTGGAAAAACCTCATGATATCCTTATTAAAACATAACGGAGTAGCATAATGTTGTCAGGTATACTTCTGTTATTTGTTTGTTTATAAACTTATCCTGTAAAAGTCTGGAGCAGATGAACTAGTGACTGATATCATGAGCAAGGATCCACACTGTATGATGAGAACAAAACATGTCAGCAAGCCTGGCCACACATCCTTGTGAAACAAGCGTACGTTCCTGGGGACTGTTTCTACCTCAATCCAACAGAGTGAGTGAGTGAGTTTGGTTTTATGCCACTTTTAGCAATATTCCAGCAATATCACGGCGGGGAACACCAGAAATGGGCTTCACACCTTGTACCCCTGTGGGGAATCGAACCCAGGTCTTCGGCATGGCAAGCGAACACTTCAACTACTTGGCTACCCCACCGCCCCCCAGTCCAACAGAGAGTACACCTGCTGACCTGTACATTAGATTCAAGATTGTGCAAGACAGACATTATTGAGTGAGTGAGTGAGTTTAGTTTTACGCCACTTTCAGCAATATTCCAGCAATATCACCGCTGTGGGACACCAGCAATGGACTTTACACCTTGAACCCATGTGGGGAATCGAACCCAAGTCTTCGGCGTGACGAGCCAACGCTCTAACCACCTGGCTACCAAACATTCATTAAGCAAGTTTACAGCCCAGTGAGTGAGTTATCTCTTAACATGGTCAAAGTGTTGTTCTTGTCACAACTTACTCTGCCAGAACCAGTCCGTTGACAACCAAGTTCTTGAAGGGCGGCTTCCCAAACAGCAGTGTGGACAGTACAAGCAGTGTGTAGAACCTAAAGCAGAAGAAAAATCTACTGTCTTAGTGCGAAACACTTGTCATACAGATCACTACACTGTCAATGTACCATCATCACGATCAATGGTTCCATGTAAGACAATGCCACAAAGACTGTCTTATCAATAATGTAATTTTCTGAATAAAATTGATATTTTATACTTATCCTGACTCATGCTCTTTTGCTTGTCTTCTTCTTCTTGCGAACATAGTGGAACACTTGTATCTCCCTAATTGAAGTTCCCTTCAATGTAAAATCACTAATTAGTACTCACCAAGAGTTGCCTCCCTCTTCCAAATTGTGGCGCCTCCTTTCCCGCGCATTTTGGAAGAGGGAGGCAACTCTTGGTGAGTATTAATTAGTGATTTTATATTGAAGGGAGCTTCAATTAGGGAGATACAAGTGTTCAACTGTGTTCGCAAGAAGAAGACAAGCAAAAGAGCATGAGTCAGGATAAGGAAAAATATTTTCAGGGTACTACAAGACAAACATACAGATTGGATGCCAAAAAGGGTCACACAAAAGTATTCATTGTACCAAATTCTTGAGAAGAAATATAAGGTAACTGTTATAAAGTAATTATGAAATCTTACATTTCAATACTATGCACTATCAGGGGCAGATACAGATTTTTGAGAAAGTGGGGTGTACAGTTCATTTTCACCCGTTTTCACGAATTTCGATGGATATTTAATAAACTTTCAGGACAAAAGGGTGATGCGCATAGGCAGATCCAGTGGGTACGGGAGTGCGCACCCTAGTACCCTCTGGATCTGGTTATAATCATATCATTACTAAAAAGGACTCGTGAAATTGGGTGGTCAGACTTGCTAACTTGGTTGACACATGTCATCGTATCCCAATTGCGTAGAACAATGCTCATGATGTTGATCACTGGATTGTCTAGTCCAGACTCGATTATTTACAGACCACCGCCATACAGCTGGAATATTGCTGAGTGCGGCGTAAAACCAAACTCACTCAATCCTTCACTCCCTTGAAATTAGCAACTGAAGGTTCATGGGACCACTGTAGGTCAAGATAAAATCCTGTGTATTTGATAAACATCATATGACTATTGACCGGTTGTAAAAAGAATTATTTAATATCTTTTTAAGAGTTAACATGCATTGCCAAAGGGATCTTCAAGGAACTTCATCAAAAGTCCTTTTAAAAAAACGGATTCAAGTGTAAGGTCTTTTCAAAACCAGACTGCCAAATTCATGGCTTTTCACTAGTACCGGTATGTACATCATCATCTGACCATGGTGCTACATCTAACTTACCATCCACGTGTCTGGTCAACTCCCTCTGCAATGAAATCAGCTGGGAAGCTCTCCTCAAACTCCTTCTTGTGTTCGAATGGGAAATGAGCCTGAGCGTAGGGCATGCTGCCGCTCTCAAACCAGCAGTCGAACACCTCACTCACACGACGAAGCACTCCCTTCCCCATTTTGGAGGGAATGGTCACCTTATCAACACTGAAAGTAAAATGGACATTAAAATGGAAAATGAAAAACTAAACTAATATATATAATTGATAATTGACCAGTTCAACAGAAAATGTTGGCTTTTTGGTTATTGTTTCCTGTGGACTGCAGAATTCATTCTGGACTTTAGAAAGGTGAAATTCAAATATTTGGGCCATTTTGAAATCAAGTTGGACATTTCTGATAATGATTCTGATACATGACATACAATGTCCTTCTTGGAATCTAAACTACAGGTTCAGTTAAAGCCAATTCTTTTGAAGCATGGGTGCAGAATAAAGCCTGGGATTTTCTTAGAAATATCACTTCCATCATGATCTGTATATGCCTTTCGTCTCTTTGAATGTATTGTTAATATCCTGACCTGCCAGTTGACCCATGACAGCATGTCCAACTGGCCATGATTTGCCAATATGTTAAAATGCAACTTGAAATATGACTGGCTGCTGCTGATGGTATGAACCAATCACCAGGCTTGATATAAAATGTGTTTGTGCATTCCATAAGCTTCAAATTGTGTATAAGTATTGTTTATGCAGTGTGAAAGCAAATCCAGACAGGGAGTGATATGGCTCCATACATAGCAACATTGGGAGTGATATGGCTCCATACAAAGCAACATTGGGAGTGATATGGCTCCATACATAGCAACATTGGGAGTGATATAGCTCCATACATAGCAACATTGGGAGTGATATGGCTCCATACATAGCAACATTGGGAGTGATATGGCTCCATACAAAGCAACATTGGGAGTGATATGGCTCCATACAAAGCAACATTGGGAGTGATATGGCTCCATACAAAGCAACATTGGGAGTGATATGGCTCCATACATAGCAACATTGGGGAATTGATATGGCTCCATACAAAGCAACATTGGGAGTGATATGGCTCCATACAAAGCAACATTGGGAGTGATATGGCTCCATACAAAGCAACATTGGGAATTGATATGGCTCCATACATAAAACAACATTGGGGAGTGATATGGCTCCATACAAAGCAACATTGGGAGTGATATGGCTCCATACAAAGCAACATTGGGAGTGATATGGCTCCATACAAAGCAACATTGGGAGTGATATGGCTCCATACAAAGCAACATTGGGAGTGATATGGCTCCATACATAGCAACATTGGGAGTGATATAGCTCCATACAAAGCAACATTGGGAGTGATATGGCTCCATACAAAGCAACATTGGGAGTGATATGGCTCCATACAAAGCAACATTGGGAGTGATATGGCTCCATACAAAGCAACATTGGGAGTGATATGGCTCCATACATAGCAACATTGGGAGTGATATGGCTCCATACAAAGCAACATTGGGAGTGATATAGCTCCATACAAAGCAACATTGGGAGTGATATAGCTCCATACAAAGCAACATTGGGAGTGATATAGCTCCATACAAAGCAACATTGGGAGTGAAATGGCTCCCAAAAGAAGAACTCTTGATCCGCAACTCACTTTTCTCTGTGAAGATCCTTCAGTTCAACACCTGACAGTTCCTTTAGTTCTTCAATAGATCCTACACACACAATCTGCAACAAGGTCACACAGTTTATTAAATAGTTTTAATTAATAACAAAAGATTTTGCAAAATACATCACGATTGAATTTTTTGGTTCACAGTATCATATTTCAGTTTTGAGTTGAGTTTAGTTTCTGGTGGTATTGTAGGAATGTTTCTAAAAGCTGAGTAAAACCATAATCACTCATTCACTAATAGTGCCTGTTTCAATGTGCAAGCCACCTGAGATACCACAACAGTTAAGCCTGGATGCCCCATACCGACGTATTATACTGATGTCAAGCTCGCAAATTCTTGGTTCATCCCCTTAATTCTGATTGCCAGTTAGTGAAAGACAAAGTGAAAACACCTCTGTATGTGAGCGGATACATAAGATCTACTATATAAGCCCAGTCCCCCTACCTCTTCTCCATCTTCACTGACCCACAGAGGGATGGGGGTGCCCCAATACCGATTACGGGAGACGGCCCAGTCTCGAGCATCACGCAACCAGTTGGCGAATCTCTTTTCCTTCACAAAGTCTGGCACCCTGAGGAACAAACAGACTGTCAGAAGATGGAATACTATTGATAACACAACCTGGCAAAAGCACGAACACAATGGCTTAATACGTCCCCAATTCCAACTTCTTGTAAGGCAATACTTTTCAGACCTTGTTTAAGTAATCACTATTGTCATCATCGTCAACATCTTTATTGTAGTCACCACAATTCTAATCATCATCATCATCATCCATCAATCATCATCCATCAATCATCATCGTCCATCGATCATCATCCATCAATCATCATCCATCAACCATCATCATCCATCAACCATCATCATCCATCAACCATCATCATCCATCAACCATCATCATCCATCCATCAATCAGCATCCATCAATCATCATCATCATCAATCATAATTAATCATCATCCATCAATCATCAGCATCATCAATCAATCATCATCACCAATCATAATTAATCATCATCCATCAATCATCAGCATCCATCAATCATCCACCAATCATCATCACTCAATCAATTAGCATCCATCAATCATCATCCATCAATCATCATCATCATCAACCATCATCAATCATAATTAATCATCATCCATCAATCATCATCAGCATCCATCAAGCATCAGCATCCATCAATCATCATCCATCAATCATCATCATCATCATCCACCAATCATCATCCATCAACCATCATCATCCATCAACCATCATCATCCATCCATCAATCATCATCATCAACCATCATCAATCATAATTAATCATCATCCATCAATCATCATCATCAATCAATCATCATCATTCATCATCAATCACCATTAGTCATCATCCATCAATCATCATCAGCATCATTCAATCATCATCCATCAATCATCATCCACCAATCATCAGCATCCACCAATCATCATCACTCAATCAATCATCATCCATCAATCATCATCAATCATAATTAATCATCATCCATCAATCATCATCAGCATCCATCAAGCATCAGCATCCATCAATCATCATCCATCAATCATCATCATCATCCACCAATCATCATCATCCACCAATCATCATCATCCATCAATCATCATAATCAATCATCATCAGCATCCACCAATCATCATCCATCCATCCATCATCATCCATCAACCATCATCATCCATCCATCAATCATCATCATCAACCATCATCAATCATAATTAATCATCATCCATCAATCATCATCATCAATCAATCATCATCATTCATCATCAATCATCATTAGTCATCATCATCAATCATCATCAGCATCATTCAATCATCATCCATCAATCATCATCCACCAATCATCAGCATCCACCAATCATCATCACTCAATCAATCATCATCCATCAATCATCATCAATCATCATCCATCAATCATCATCAGCATCCATCAAGCATCAGCATCCATCAATCATCATCATCATCCACCAATCATCATCATCCACCAATCATCATCATCCATCAATCATCATCATCCATCAATCATCACAATCAATCATCATCAGCATCCACCAATCATCATCCATCCATCATCATCCACCAATCATCATCATCCATCAATCATCATCATCCATCAATCATCATCATCAATCAGCATCAGCATCCACCAATCATCATCCATCCATCAGCATCCATCAATCATCATCCATCAAGCATCAGCATCCATCAATCATCATCCATCAATCATCATCCACCAATCATCATCCATCCATCAATCATCATCATCATCCACCAATCATCATCCACCAATCATCATCATCCATCAATCATCATCAGCATCCACCAATCATCATCCATCCATCAGCATCCATCAATCAGCATCCATCAAGCATCAGCATCCATCAAGCATCATCCATCAATCATCATCCATCCATCAATCATCATCATCATCCATCAATCATCATGTTCATCATCAATCATCATCATCATCCATCATCATCCCTCACCAGTATGTCTTCTGGTTGTTGTCCAGCAGTTTGTCAGTAGCCTGCTCAACACGGATGAACCAGCTTGGCACTGCCTTGTACATAAGGGGAGTCTCAGACCTGGAGTAACACACAAATTTTGTTTTAACTGTGAGATGCATGTGAGGACTATAAAAAATGGCTTCTGATTTCGAACTACAAACAGGGAGAGAAATGTCTTTTGTTTCAAGTGCGCCAGAAGGCACCTGTTATGAAGTTTAGGTGGGCTCTTTGGATCATAAGTATGCTAACATGCTGAATCATTTGATCCATTTTAAAATTTGTTGAATGTCATTTAACCATCAAATAGATAACATCCAGGTAAGAATTGTTCTTCAGCAACCCATACTTATAAGAGTGAGTGAGTATGGTTTTACACCACTCTTAGCAATATTCCAGATATATCATGGCAGGGTACACCAGAAATGGGTTTCACACATTGTTCCCATGTGGCATACTTATAAGAAGTGACTGTGCTTGCCGAAAGAGGCAAATCAACAGGTCAGCTCATTGCATTCAAATCATGTAGATCACTGCTCATGATGCCAATCACTGAATTGTCTGGTCCAGACTTGATTACCTACAGACCAAGTCAAACACTTGGAGTAATACAGAGTAGTATTGAAAAATCAATATGCTAGACCATCGAGAAGCAATGTGAGACTTAGGTCTGTATTGTGATTGCGATGGAATGCCACGGATATGTGGTTGGGTTTTCTTGTATAAGCATGATGAGTGAGCATGACATGTCCTTAGATGTTTGTCAAGAATACTGCCCCAGGAAGTGAGTGAGTGAGTTTAGTTTTACGCCACACTCAGCAATATTCAAGCTATATGGTGGCAGTCTGTAAAGAATCGAGTCTGGACCAGACAATCTAGTGATCAACAGCATGAGCATCGACCGGCGCAATTAGGAACTGGTGACATGTGTTAACCAAGCCAGCGAGCCTGACCACCTGATCCCGTTAGTCGCCTCTTACGACAAGCATGGGTTACTGAAGGTTCATTCTAACCCGGACCCTCACTGGTATAGTATGGTATCATATCATACAGATTACTATTAATCTAATCAATCATTACTCATACAGCTCTAAGAATTGTTGTCTGCCTATCAACTATTACATAGAATGTCATCAAATACTCTGTGATATATACCTGTTACGCATCATATAAACATTTTTTGCTTATTATGCTCCAGAGATTTGTAAATTGCAAGAAACATTTTCAACAGTACATAACAGTCTATCTCATCTTATCTCATCTCTCTGAGTGTGTGCATCAGTTCCCAACTGCTCAGATTGATGCTCATGCTGTTGATCACTGAATTGTCTGGGCCAGACTCAATTATTTACAGACTGCCGCCAATTGGTGGAATATTGCTGAGCTTGGCGTAAAACTAAACTCACTCACTCAATCTGAGTGTGTGCTTACACTATCGACCCCTAGGTCGTCTGTCTACCCCTAGGTTGTCCATAGTTTCCAGTCTACCATCACATCTTTATTGGTGACTCATTTTTTTAACACTTTTAACTGAACTCACAATCTCAAGACAAGTAATCTCCATATAAGAGAGCAACCCTACCTCCAGCAGAAGGGGTAGTTGTGCTTGGCAGTGCCCTGGTGGACAAGACGACCTTCAGCCTTTAGCTTCTTCATGATCTCCTTGTCAGCATCCTGCAACAGACAGTTCCCACGGTAACACATACTGCATGTCATGACACGTCTGTTACTAAGCACCGCTCTCATCAGTTGAAGTTCATGCTCCGCATAAAGCCCAAGTGGCTACCATGGCATAATGGCCTGATTCATTTCAAGACTAAAAACAGATATGTGTCAATATTGATACCCATGGTGGCAATGGGTATTCGTGGGTGTATTCATGGAGTGAATATGGTGTACACAAACAAGTGGAGCAATGACAATGGGTTTTATTCCAAATTTAGCAATATATTTACTGGAAGGATGAAAAAGTTAAAAGGGGCTGTCTACTGCACTATTAGTCCTTGAGTCCACTGACCTTGAAGTACATGCCCTTGAAGTGTGTGACCTCCTCGGTGAACTTGCCACTGGCATCGATTGGACACACCATCTTCATGTCCTTGGTGATGATCTTGTACTTCAGACACGTCTTGTAATCGTCCTGGTAATTGATACAATGTCAAGGTTATTCACAAGGATCAAGTTCAGTCAAGAAACATCTTGTACAAGTAATGGGTAATGGTGTGTTAACAATTAAGCTGAACAAAAATGTTCAAGTTCAGTCAAGAAACATCTTGTATAAGTAATGGGTAATGGTCTGTTAACAATTTGGCTGAACAATAATGTTCCAGTTCAGTCAAGAAACATCTTGTACAAGTAATGGGTAATGGTGTGTTAACAATTAAGCTGAACAAAAATGTTCAAGTTCAGTCAAGAAACATCTTGTATAAGTAATGGGTAATGGTGTGTTAACAATTTGGCTGAACAATAATGTTCCAGTTCAGTCAAGAAACATCTTGTACAAGTAATGGGTAATGGTGTGTTAACAATTAAGCTGAACAAAAACGTTCAAGATCAGTCAAGAAACATCTTGTACAAGTAATGGGTAATGGTGTGTAAACAATTTGGCTGAACAAAAAATGCCATTCATTTTCAGCCAATGAGCCTTCAAACTGTCTTGAATATTTTGTGGTTGAAATTAGTTGTGTCAATGTAATCAAAACAACAGAATTTTAACTTTTTGCATTCAATTTAACAGAAGAATCTGAGATGTTGTGAGATGTGATGTCCTACAATGTGTTTGGTGCCAGAGAATCGAACACAATGTTTAACAAATCGTTTATTCACATAAATATCCAGGACAAGCAATACATACTTCACCAAAGTATGGCGCCTGATGGACGACACCGGTACCACTCTCTGCTGTGACGTAACTACCAAGAAGAACTCTGAAGGCTCTGTTTGTCTTGCCCATCTGAATCAACATTAACAAGACATGCAAATCATCGGATATAAAGTATTCTCTGTTGTTCATTTTTCAATTTATAAGTGCTGCAAATTTCAATCATGATTTGGTTTGGTTATTGTTTAACGCCACCGCTCAGCAATATTCCAACTATATGGCGGCGGTCTGTAAATAGTTGAGTCTGGACCAGACAATCCAGTGAGCATTGATCTATGTGCTTGGGCCTTCACATTTCAATTTGAGGTGACAGAATTCCACTTTGTCTCAGAATTGTTCGTTTACTGAAAAAGGGCTTAAAACAATGACTCAAAAACAGTTTGTATCTTATAGGGTGTACATGCAAATCACTTCTTGTTGAGCTATGGGTGCCAAATCAAATTCCCAAGCATCCAGTTCTAAGTATAACCACACATCTGAAAACACATGATTTTTATCTCTTAAATCCATCCTGGTGAGCTTTCCTAACTTGGAATATTCAATATGAAGCCTGTGGGGCAGGTAATATAGGGGTTGATAGTGTGAGCACCAACAATTCACCAGAGTGTGTGAGTGAGTGAGTTTAGTTTTATGCCGCACTCCACAATATTCCAGCTATATGGAAGCATTCTGTAAATAATCGAATGGGGACCAGACAATCAACAGCATGAGCATCGATCTACGCAATTGAGATACGATGACATGTGTCAACCAAGTCAGCAAGCCTGACCACCCGATCCCGTTAGTCGCCTCTTACGACAAGCATGAGTTGCTGAGGGCACATTCTAACCTGGATTTTTGCGGGTCTCTACTACTATGAAGAGTATATTAACCTATTAACATTTCATTTGTCAACCTTTATATCTGAATACCAGGGTAAGTACTTACACTCTCGAAGTAAGGAAACAGTGGCTTGTACTTCTTTCCTTCCAGAGTCTTGCCCTTGAATCTACAAGAAGGTCAATATGGCTGAGTCGTCATCTCAGATGTTTGTTGTACTTGCAAATTCAACTAAACTTTTCCTCAAAAGGTAAACTTTCCTTAATTGGCAATATTCTTGCACTATCACAGCAGGCTACACAAGATATGGGCTTCCCGCATTGTACCCATGACGGGAATAGAACACAGGTCTTTGGCGTGATGAGAGAACACTTTAACCACTAGGCTACACTCCTTCCTCCCTCTAAGATAGAATGATCAAGTAATGATAATTGGCTTCCAGTACACCTAAAGGAAGCAACTCAGCTGTGTGAATTTTCACCTCATTTCAGATGCCCAGTCAAATCATTAACTCAGAATTTCCCCCTAAAAATGTCACCAGCTTCAAGCACATCAATGGGACACACCTTCTTTTGCTTCACCTGGTCCCAATTCCAGGACCAACCTGAAAACAGATACACCAAGACAGTCCTATGGAGATTACTTACTTCTCCAATATGGTGTACTCCTCCTCTGACTTGAACAGTGCCGCCAGTCTGGCCTCCATCATGATGTACACCTTCCCGGAACTCTCGTCTGGGGAGAGAAATATCTTGTGAGGTGAGGTGAGGTGAGGTGAGGTGAGGTGAGGTAGTGAGTATATTTTTAATATGGTTTGACGCCACTTTTAGCAATATTCCAGCAATATCACAGCGGGGCACACCATCTCGTACAAGCTACCAGTAAACAGCCGAATTAATGATAATATTTGTAATCAAACACTTGTCAGCAGAAAAGAGCACAAGCAACGACAATGCTTCATAACAGATACCCAAAAATATTAATGATGTTAACGTATCAACTTTTCATAATTTATCTAAAAAATGGATGATGATAACGTTTTCACTAAAAATAATCAACAAAACAATACCTGCAACTTCTAACATGCATCTCATTTGAGATCTAAGTATTTTGTTTGTTTATTTTTGTTTAACACTGCACTCAGCAATATTGGAAATTTTACTATAAATTGAATATTTATATACTTATCCTATCTCACGGTATGCACCTCTCTTCTTCTTCTACGACCATGTATGGAAACGTGGTGTAGGCTAAGTTGAATCAAAGCTTTCTGGCCCCGACCCCCCCTGACCTCTGCCCCCACACCGATAGCACGACCTGTCAATCATCTCATAAGCGTGTCGGTTGCTCAGATGATCATGTGATGCTCTGTGCCTGTCATTCTCGTCTTGGAGCTTCCAGTAATCTGTGATGTGGGGCAGGTCGGGTGGATATCCATCGCGTCAGATGGGATAAGTATATAAATATACAATTTATAGTAAATTTCCAACTCTCACGGTATGCATTATCCCACGGTTGGCTGGTGGGCCTCAGATTACCCTGTGTCAACTCTACAACCGTTAGGTCACATAACACAAGGAGGCCAGGAGAAAGCACCAACTCCCGATATGCTAACTCCGAACTTGTGATGGGTTGCTTCTGATAACCCCTTAGCTTACACAGCACAAAAACTCTAGGGAGTGGGCGGTCCCGAATTAATGTGGTTTTCAGCCGCAACTTTTGACAAGCAAAAGGACGCAGTGTGGCAAGTGGACCCCGCCTTCCCGCGATTTATCAAGTGACCCCAGTGAATTAAAGTCGAGGACCTTAATCTGGCCAGTCCCTGCTTTGAAACTACCCCCACAGACACACACGCTGGAAGGCGGTGAAAGAGGGAATAGCCCGGTTGCTCAACTTGTTTAATGTTCAGTACCAATCCCCCTAACTTACCAAAGGTGAGAAAGGATTTAGGAGTGGAATGCTTCGAAAACCGGAAATCAACACTTCACTGACGTAATTGCTCAGAGAGTAGAGGTCAGTAAGCAGAGTGTCGACCACCTCTGCATGTAGCACAAGACTAGCCTCTCAGTCTATCGAGTCATATCTATGACAGTGCAAACACGCCCTAGTTCCCTAGGTGAAGTGGTCTATGCCCAAATATAATCCATACCAATAAGAAAGATAGGACTGATATCTTTCATGATACAGAGAATGCAAAACCTACACGAAGGTAGGAACTGCATCTTAACTGCGTTTGCGAGCCAGAACCAATGGACCCAGTTGGTGAAGACCTTCCACATCAGTGTCAGACAGATCCTGGAGGTAGGGTGAGACGAAGACCGTGTCCAATCTCCAAAAACAACCCTCCATGATGCCGTGAAGGGAACAGTTTTATGTAGCGCCATCGTAGAGGTCAAGGCTCTTGACTCATGGGGGTTGGCCGTAGTAGGAAGAGGAAGGTCAACACAGGCGTAGGCATGAAGGATGGTAGATCACATCCAGAAGGTCAGTGTGGTACGAAAGACTTCTGTAGATGAGGCAGATGACAGAGAAATAAACCTACGACACTTGCGTAACCTATGACCGTCCTTGGAGGCAGCTAAAAACCCGTTAAGTCCGGACATAGGGAGAGATCCTCGGTGTCGTCAGGGCCCAAAATAGTAGACAACGCTGGGAAGGTGAATAGGCTGTCCGGCTGTCCAGGCAACAGGTTTCAGCGACAAGATCCCACCTCAAACCAGGGTCTGGTTCTCTCGAAGCGCAACCGGGTGACATCCAGTGCGGGAAGCTCGGAGATGCAGGCAACAGTTGCAAGAGCCAGGAGGAAGAAAGTCTTAAACGTGACATGCTTGAAATCCTTCTCTGCCACAGGTTCATACTCCTCTGACGTGAGATGATTAAAAACAACGGAAAGGTCCCAGGCTGGTGGCCGGAACTTCTGGGATTGATCAGCAACTTTGTAAGATCTGAGGAGAGACTGGAGCTCAGGGACAGTTGACACCTTCGCACCCGTAGCCAGCGCAATAACTGTGTTACGCATGGCCAGATATGTAGACAAGGTGGAACCCATCAATTCCTTGGAAGTTCTAGGATGCTGGAGGTACTCTGCGACCATCTGAGGCGATGCTGTAGTGGAAGATATAATACCCATTGTCTTGCAGTACGCTTCAAAATCTTTCATAGTCATTACAGAGTGGCCTGGTAGAAGTTCGATGTGCTGTGGTAATCGCTGTACCGACTCGCTTGGAATGTCCATTGCATTTAGCAATTCATGTAAATGTGCCAGGCCAAAAAGGTGCGACCCAAACAGCGTCATCTGCTGTGTTGTGCCAAACAGTGTCATTCGCTGCGTTGTGCCAAACAGTGTCATCCGCTGCGTTGTGCCAAACAGTGTCATCCACTGCGTTGTGCCAAACAGTGTCATTCGCTGCGTTGTGCCAAACAGTGTCATCTGCTGTGTTGTGCCAAACAGTGTCATCCACTGCGTTGTGCCAAACAGTGTCATCCGCTGCGTTGTGCCAAACAGTGTCATTCGCTGCGTTGTGCCAAACAGTGTCATTCGCTGCGTTGTGCCAAACAGTGTCATCCACTGCGTTGTGCCAAACAGTGTCATCCACTGCGTTGTGCCAAACAGTGTCATCCGCTGGTTGTGCCAAACAGTGTCATCCACTGCGTTGTGCCAAACAGTGTCATTCGCTGCGTTGTGCCAAACAGCGTCATCCGCTGCGTTGTGCCAAACAGTGTCATCTGCTGCGTTGTGCCAAACAGTGTCATCCACTGCGTCGTGGGTAACTTGAGCAGTATGCGTGGAAGGAGCACCACTGGTGAAAACGCATACGCGTTCAAGTCATCCAAGGGGATGGCTAGAGCATCGTGTTCCCAGGTCAAAGGATCCAGGATCGGGGACACGAATATTGGAAGCTGGTGATGGAAGCGGGTAGCAAACAGATCCACTGTCGGGTTAAACATCGGAAGGCACAAAGTCTGGAACATGCGGATGCAGGCTCCACTCCATCGGGTATGGTCGAACTGGATGGGACAAAGAATCTGCAATGACGTACTTCACCCTTGGGATGTGATTGGCCTGGACCGTGATGTTGAGAGAGTCCACTGAGTGGAAAAACTGTTGTGTCCACTGAAGAAACTGAGGAGGACACCGTGGATCCCATTTGATTGATGTGCCACACGACTGCAGCATAGTCCGATCGAATCAAAAGCTTGGTTGATTGTAACAGGTGTTGCCAATGAGTGATCGCAAGAATCACTGTCCTGAGCTCCAAACATTGATGTGACATGCGCGGTCTGCGGGAGATCAAGAAAGTGAGCTCCCCACCCGTGTGCATCTACGTACAGGTGACGTACTGGTGCAAACAGCCTTAAAGAGACTTTGCCGCAAACATTCAACATGTCTAAACACCACAGGAGATGGGGATGGAGCACTGGAGAAAGAAAGATCAATGCGTGAGGGTCGCCGATCCTGATGTGCGGACACAGAAAATATTGGAGAGGCCATAGTTGAAGCTATCCCCTCAGAGTCACAACTTGAGCTAACGTCAACAGAAAAAGGTCTTGTACCTGACGAAGAATCTTGGGTTGCAAAAGCGCTAGGGTTACCATAGAAACTCCAGCGCAGATATTCAGTTCGTCGAGCCACCACTGAAGGACTGGACGAAGCGGTTCTGGAAGGCGACTCAATTCCTTCGGGTTCAGTTGACGGCCTCGAGATACAGGCGTAGAAATCGCTGTATCGGCCGAAGTAGGAGATGGCCTCTGTACGTTGAGCTGATATCAGAAGGCCTAGCAACTACTGCCACTGAAGAAGGAATCTCTCCTGAGATAGGATACATTCGATTAGTCAAGCCAGCATGACAGTACTGAAGAAGTGCTGAATGTAGTAGGTTCGTGGCATGGAGACGGTCAGTCAATCTACAGGAACGTTCACATTGTACACTGTGATGCAGGCCGTATAATCAGTGATCGCAGGAACATATGGTTCGCCAAATGAAGTGTTGGTCTGCAAGATGGAGTGAAAAGCTAGTAGATGCGAGGCATGGGATCGTCAATCTACCGGAACATTCGTAAAGTTGATGGAATGGCGGAGGTAAACAGACCAGTGATCCCAGGAACATTAGTAAGGGAAACGAAGGTAGTAAAATTGATGCTTGCAGACAGTCCAGACATAGCTCTGAACTGAGGGCTTAAGCTAAAAACCGAGTAACCCTAGCCAAGTAAAAGCGTTCTCGGGCGATTCTGTCTGACACCCTCGGTAAACTGCTTCTCTCGGATGACTGTCGAAACTCGACATAATCACTCTTAAACGGGAATGGTACCGTTCATCATCACTGGCAATAAAAGGCTAGGATAGGTATCCGCTTCGTGGGACCAAGACTAGTCTGTCAGGGTACTTCATAGTCACTGTATCATCAAAAGTCTCCGGAAACAAACAGTAGTCATTGCAAATGCTACCCACAATGCAATAGTGACAAAAACCAGACAACACGGATCGTCAATTAACCAGCTTAACCAAACCTGCAGAGGTTTTCAATTCTTTGAAGAGAGTCGTCCTTGGGGTACATATTATGCATTTTCGGCTGAAAAATGTCCTGTGACAGTTGTATCAATGTTTTTGAATAAAAGATTGTACAATAAATAAACTCTTTTATTTATTATCACGGACCCTACCTCCGCGGAGTTACCTCCCTTAAGCATGCGCACCAACTGGGTAGGCTCCTAGACCCGTATCATCATTCCTTCTG